AAACATTCACAACCTCCGCCCGAGGCAACGCCCGGGTAAAACACTAGTCTCTTGTAACCTAGAATGGCCACTAGGATTATAATTGCATGTAGAATAAATTAAGAGAGATCTAATTTAATCTAGGACACCTTCACACACACTTAATCGTTCGCTAAGAGATTAGTAATGATTTAGGGGCCGTACGCTCACTCGTTTTGACAATAATTTTAGATACCTGTCACATGAGGGATCAGTCTGGTTCCCTAAATTGTTGTACTCTACGCCGCGAGAGCGGTTAGAACTTAGTATTGACCAGCGTTGCTCAATTAAATAATTTTCATTTGATTAAGCCCGATTAGTCAGAAATTTCATCCCAGAATCAATCTATGTTCCCTATCGTCATTAATTAGAAAGTTCCCTTTAATGTTTTTTTTTTGTTTTTTTATAAATAATATACCCCGAACTTTGCCTTGGTGTGAGCTCCCCACCCCAAACTTGTCATAGTTTAAAAAATACCCTCAACTTTATTTATTTAATATTTTTGTACCATATTTTAATAAACAAATAATATTTCTCAAATTGTAATATTTTTATTAGATTTAGTTGGCAAAAAAAGATGTGTGATTCCCAAATTAATGTGTGCTTTTCGAATTGATTAAATAACTTCAAAATCTCTAATTTAAGTACAAAAAATATGTTAATTAATCTTTTTTTGACAACTAAATCTAATTAACATATTATAATTTGAGAAATATTATTTGTTAATTAAAATATGGTACAAAAAATTCAAATAAATAAAGTTGGGGGTATTTTTTAAACTAGGACAAGTTCGGGGTGGGGAGCTCACACTAAGGCAAAGTTCGGGGTATATTATTCATTTTACCCTTAATTTTTCAAACCAACCAATCTCGCACAATTGCATTTATTTTTATTTTTATTTTTTATCACTGAATTTAATTAATTCCTGATTCCCTTTTTTTCATCCTTGTGGAGATGATATTCGTACTTCTATCCTTTACTACTATCTTTTTAGGAGGGAGAAAACTCACATCAAAACTAAACCGAAACACAAATGATTTTAGTTTGGTACAAATCCATTCAAACCGAATGAACCAAAACCGAAGAAAACAGAACCGTAAATTGAATTGTCCATCCATAATTGATATCATATGAAAGATAACAAATAAAAAAGGTATAACACTTTAAAAAATTATTAATTTTTCATGAGTCCCTCATTGGATCCTTTCTCCCTTTCTCCTGCATGGGTAGTACTTCACGAATTTGGATCCTTTCAGATGACTAGAGACTTAATTACATTTGGGGAGATGAAAGGAGAAAATTAAGGGTGGGGTAGGTGAATTGATGAGTGAGATAGAGAAAAAGGTAGAGAGATAGATAGGCAGTAAAAAAGAAAAATGAAGGGGAACTGGAGAGAAATAAATGGAGAGGAGCTCGTATTTCACTCCTAGTTCATGCGTAGGTTTTTTCCTTGTGCTTTTTGAGTGAATAGCTATCACCCAAGGGGGATGAAGATTCATTGTAAGACTCCCACATACATTTTTATCTAGGGTTTCAACATTCTTGAGCCTAAGAAAATGTTCTCTTCACCTGATCTGAATGTTTCTGATCTGAATTTTTTAAGTTCTAATCTGATCTGATCTGAATTTTTCTGATCTGATCTGATCTGATCTGATCTGATCTGAATCTTTCTGATCTGGTCTGATTTGATCTGAATCCTTCTGATCTGATCTGAATCTTTCTGATCTTATATGATTTGAATATTTTTATAATTATAATTATAATTATTATAATTATAATGTTAATTACAAATATAATTTAAATAAAATTACAATTATAATCATAAGTAAAAGAATATAATAATAATTAAAATTAAATTTAAAATTATAATAATTATACCTATTAAACTAATTATAACTATAGATACAATTATAATTGTAATTATATTTTTAATTATTATTACATATATAATTATAATTGTAAGTATAATTATAATATTTATTTCTATAATTACAATTATAACTATAAATACAATTATAATTTCCCTTTATAATAATAATAAATACAACAACAACAATAATGATTATTATAATTATAATTATAATAATAATAATTATTTTAAAATAATAATATAATAAATATAATTTTAATAAAACAATAATATAATAAATTATATTATATTATTATTATTATTATTATAATTTTATTATTATTATTATAACTTAATAATAATAATTTAATAATATAATAATATTATAATAATATTATATATTATTATTATTATTCTATAATGAATACTATAATATTATTGATCTTATAATAATATTATATAATATTCTTATTATTATTATAATTTAATATTATTATTATTATTATTATTGTATTATAATTATATTATTATGATGATTATAATTTAATAATAATAATATATTATTATTATATTACTAGTATATTATTATTACTATTATTATTAATGTATTATTATTATTATTAATTATAATGTAATGATAATAATAATAATAATTTTAATTAATAAAATAATAAAAGTGATAAATCACGTTTCAACTTTTCTGATATGATCTGATCTGAATGTTTCTGATCTGATTTGAATGTTTCTGATCTGGTCTGATCTGATCTGAATGCTTCTGATCTGATCTGAATCTTTCTGATCTGATCTGAATAAAATAAGAATAAGCAATAAGTAATAAGAATAAGACGAAGAGAACAACTTCTAATAGCTCACAATTGACCTTTTCACCTCATACAATGCGTCAGCCTTACTGGTTATCTAATTCTCACACTTTTTTTTAATTATTTAGTATCTTAAGTTCATAAATATGACTATTCACTAGAACGTAGTGTTGTGGTAACTTAAGTTCAACACTTGAACATGAATTACTATGATTTCATTACTACTCTAGTAACTAGTCACATTTTTGTAAATAATCTTTATTTTGGTCATATTTATGTAATTATTTCTTGATTTTATTCATTTATTAGATTCTATTGAATTGAAAACTATGAGTATTCATATGAATTAAAATCATATGATTATTTTAGTATTATAATATACTTTAAGGGACTCCCAGGCTCACCATCGGAGTCGTCAGACACTATGATGGCCTTGGAGGCAGTACCATCAATGCGCGGCCTCTTTGAAGCCTCCGACGCATCGTCTGACCGCCTCTTGCTCGCTCGAGACTCGATCTTGGGGACGAGCGGCTTTCTGCCCTTATCCTCATCTTTGTTTTCGCGGCCGTGGGCATGCGAAGCAACGTTGGTACGTCCCATGGATGATGTAGATGGGAAAACTCCTGCAGAAAGAAAGTCAAGACGTTCAGAACCATAACAACGAAAGGGTGATAGGACAATGCAAGTACAAATAGACGCACCTAGTCCGGCCTGAGCTTTGAAAGGCTCGGCCACCAGCGACCGGAGGTTCTGGACCCCAAGATCAGCTATGCGCTTGGCATAGTTAAGCTCCTCATCCGTCATAGGCGGCGGGATGGACTTCACCGGGTAGGCGTTCCACCTATCGGAGAATGGCATCGGGGAGCCTACTTCGGCGAGGAAGAACCGCTCCTCCCAGCCGTCCGGGTTCCCGACGTTGTTTGAGAACAGAACCATGGACGGACGCGCAATCAGGGTTAAATACCCCGTACGTCCGAAGGGGGATAACCGGAAGAAGTGGTGCAATAAGTCTACGGTGGGGGTCACGCCAACACTGTGACATCTAATTATAAAACTCGCGATGATCCTGTAAGCAGCGGGGACGAACTGCGCAGGCGTCACTTTGAGGCTCCTAAAAAGCTCTATATGGAAGCTATGGAGGGGGAAAAGAAGGCCAGCTATAACGGAGTCTAGATGGACCACCACATAGCCGGGCAGATGGCACATTGGGTTGCGCAGACGACGATCGTCGTAAACCCTTGGAGGGAGGAACCATTGGCTTACCAACCGACGGTCCGCATTCAACAGACGTTGGCGCTGACGACGAACGCCGGAGAAATTCAGGTGATGGCGGGGGGCCGAGGTGGCATACCCCGCTCATAGAACTCTAGATCATCACTGGAGGAACACCCGTCGTCAAACCTATCCCCGGCGGACGACGAGCTGCTTCGGGTCCTTGAATCAATGTTTTGGGTTTCTAACCTAGACAAGGACATGACGACGTTCGGTACCTACCGGGGTTCGAGCCTGAAGCAACGCAGAGGAAAGCTAGAGAGAGAAAGTAGTTGCGCAGCACAAGAGCTAGAGATGAAGCGAATGGGGAATCCGCGAGATTTTGGGTACTTATAGACAGCACCGAGGGATCGCACCAATCGCGGTGGAACACGTGGCGCCTGAATACCGGTACCTACCACGGTATTAAAGGCGCCTCGATGTTACCACCCCACAGTCACCGCGAAGGAACCCGGTTTGGTGCCACGAACGTCCCCCATAGAGGCACACAGAGACCGCATCCACAGGCTAAACTCACGAGGAGACGTGCGTATCCACGGGATGCGTTCATATTTCCATGCTTCGCACCACCGCAACACGCGACCAGACGAACGTCCATGAACGATATCTGGGTTGAGCACACGGCATAGAAGGTTATGCTACTCCTAACGCGACGAACATCTCTATCAAGGCATTGTCTCTGAGGAGTGCGTCCGTATCCCCACATCTAGTTATACAGACGACCGTCGCCCTAAGAAGTTTAAATGGGGCACGCGCAGCATGGATAATTATGCTTGTAACCGCATGACGGACATCTCTACCAACATTGATCCAGGGACGTACGTTCGCGTCCCCGTACGTAGGATTGAATACGTACAGCGTGGGAGGTGGGCTTACACATATGATCGTCCTCGATACGTTCGTACCTCGAAAGATCGGAGTACAGAAACGAAATATGGACATGAACGTCCTCGCGAACTTGGGCTATATCCCAAGAAATCGAAATACAACTAACAATGAAAGGAAACAAGAAGAGTTCATGAACGTAGAGACAATGATGGGGCGAAAAGAGTTGTGTATTCCTCGGCTCTACTGGCCGGATATTACAGAATCATAACAAAGAGATTACAAGTTACATTAAACAAAATTCGGGGAAACATGCCGGGACCCCCCAGGAATGGTTTCTTCTTCCTCCTCGGGCTCGGGCTCGGGCTCGGGGGTCGGAGGCTCCGGGACCTCACCCCTGGCTTTGGCTTCCTCCCGCCGGGCGTCCCGCTCCAGCTTGCCCACCGCTCGAATCAGCTCCGGGTCCGTGGTGTGCTGGGCCAGGTTGAATCCGGGGCCCTGGAGAGCGGCAAAGACCGGCAGTGTGGCTTTCACCCCCTTGTTGTAGCCAATGACAAAGGAGCTATCTCCAACGTCATACAAGAACTTCTCGGCCAGGGGAGCACTCTCCAGAACTTGGACCCCGAACTTGAGCCGGTCCTTCGGCGCACGCTTCTGCAGTTCAGCGGCGAATACATCGCCAAAGGCGCCCCCAAGGTACCTCTGGACGGCGATCATGAAGGCCCCAGAGTTGTGATACCCAGAGTCGTCGACGAGCCATTCGGGGGCCTCGTTCTTGGGGGCGGGGAGAGCCGGGACGAGCTTGAATCCGGCCTTCTCCAGGGCCGCAAGCTTCGCGGAAGATTCGCGAGCTACCTTCAGAGCGGCCTGCAGCTCCTTTTCCTTGGCTGCCGTCTCCTTCTCCTGAAGACGAACGGCCTCCCTCGCCTTCTTCAAGGCCGCATCTGCCTTATTCTTGGCCTGGAGGGCGTCGGCATCCCGAGCAGCCTCGGCTTGCAGGGTGGAGAGCCCGACCTACAAAACAGACACAGAGGATGAGACCTCAGGTCAACAGAATACGATAAAATACCACCCGGCGAGGGGCGAAGTCTCACCTGAAGAGCGGCGGTCAGAACCGCATTGGAGGCCTCCGAAGACGTCCGGGGAGGCACTTCCACGCCGACCAGGGAAGCAATCTTCTGCCAGACGTCATGGGCCGGACGTCCAAGGGAAGGAAGAATCAACTCTTGTTCTTCGGGGGCCGAAGAGGAAGCCCCCGGGGCCTTTTGGACTTCTTGTCCTTCGCCTTCTCCCCGTCATGGGGATGGACGGTCTGCAAGGGCGCCACGACTTCGGAAGCACCAGAATTGAGGATCGGGGCCTGGGACCCCTGTGCCATCACCGTGGCAATGAGGTGCTGTTCCGCCTCCACCGTGCGACGGTCGGCCTGAGAGGCGGAAGAGTTAGAATCGGCCGTTTGAACAGCCTTGGCCTTGGCAAGAGCGGCATCGGCGGCAGCACCCTTGCCTTTCCTTGTCTTGAGGAGCTTCTCGTGATTCATTTGCTCCTGGGTTGGGGGAAGACCTGGAAAAATGGAAAGTGACAATGTTAGATGGATGAACGTCAGGAGTAACTCGGGACACTCACCTCAGAGGTCAGGACCGCCCAGTACCCCGAGACGAGCATAGGAGGGGGGAAGTCCAAGAGCATGGGCGGTACCTATTCCTGCTGCAGCGAGTGCCTCGAAGGTGAGGAAATCCTCCAAGGGCCAGACGCCGTCCGTCGAGATCTTTCTGACGTCTTCCTCCAGACCGTCGGTCAGATCCGGAGACCCTATCTTGGGCGGATAGCCATTCCACCGCAATGGCAGACGAGCATCCGCATACCGCACGAAGAAGAACCGATTTTTCCAATCATGGATGGAACTTGGTGCACCGCTGAACAGCCTCCTTTTCGGACGGGCGGCGACGCTCAGAAAGCCGTCAGAATTTTGAGGGGTGAGCCGGTAGAAGTAATGGAACAAGTCCAGGGTGGCGGTAACCCCATTGTCCTTGCAACGGACTAGGAAAGCGGAGACGAACCGGTATGAATTCGGCATAAGTTGAGCAGGGGCTATTTGATAACAGCAGAAGAACTCCATATAGAACGGATGGAGAGGAAAACGCAGCCCGGCCTCGATGGAGTCCAGAAGCACCATAACCATTCCCGGGTGTCTTCTCATCACATGGGTGGCGCCACGGAGGCTGTATACGGACGGAGGGGGGGAGAACACCTTGAGCTTGTTAAGGGCCACCGGCAAAAAATCTGCTCATGGCAGAGGACATTCTTGATCGGGCATAGATGCCGCTCCACATCCACTTTTAGCCCGAGGTCAAACACTTCGATGTCAGAGCCATCCTGGGCCTCGGCCCCAAAGTCATATCCAGCCGGACGACCGTCCTCGCTAAGAACAACCTGCTCCCCAGCATCAGCCGCGGGGTCCACCACATCGAGGGCCATAGTATCTTGCCCTCCCGAATCAGCACCCTCATCGCCAGGGATAATCGCAACAACATCATTCGGGGCTCCCCCCGCCTGAACAGTTCCCACGGTAGGGGCCGAGCCGGAACTACCGGAAGTGCTAGTCTCGCCCGAGGAGCGTGAACCGGAGCCGGAAGAGGAGCCCGAAGAGGAACCCGACGAACCAGAACCAGAGCTTGATGAAATCTCCATCGAGACCATCTCGGTGAAAATTCAAGACAGATAAAAGAAGCAGAGGATGGAAATTACCTTGCGGGGAGATTGGCCGAACTCGGAAGCGGGGAAGGACTTGAAGAGCAGCGGAAATCCAAGAGCAAGAGAGCGGAAATTGGGAACCCTAATCCAGAGGGAAAACCCGGCATTTATAGGAGAAGCACCGGTGAGGGAACTAACGAGGGGTTGACACGTAGCAAGGAGCGTATTCCGGCCCACGCGCTGTGCGTGGGATGGGAGTGTAATGATGGCGTTTCCTCGGAAAATGCACCGTCGCGACGGCAGCCGTCACCTCGATTCCTGGGCCATCGACAGCTGTTAGGCATCATGACCACGAGCGTACGCCTTCACCGGATGCAACAAACACAAGTATCAGGTCACGAGCGTCTTACCCTCGGGGAAGATCATACTTCCTTATGTCCTGTGCATGCTCAGAACATCAGAAGTGGGGGACTTGTGTTGGGTTAATGGCCCAAGCTGAGGACCGGCCCATTTACCCTTTCTTCCGGACGTACGTCCGGATAGGTCACCAAGCTAGCCTGGCAAGCCCATCTCCTCCAGAGTGGACGAACGTCTACAGGTGGGGTTCAGGCTCAACGGCCCACCTCAACGAACGTCCACGCAGAGACAAGGAGCAGGACCACGGGCCACCTGAATGGCAACGAACGTCGCCAGAGCAAGCCCATAGCCATCGGAGGCAGTCCAGGGGACGAACGGTCAATACCCCTTGGGGGCCACCTGGAGCAGTCCAACTCGCTCCCCTGGCGGACGGACATGCCCACTAATTAGGCGGGAAACCTAGATTCTGGCGGGAAGTGCATTTAATGTTGAAGATTTGGTGGTTGGGACACCAGCGAACCACAGACTTCCACGTCAATATAGCCACCTGCCCATTGGTGGGTATAAATAGAAGCATTTATTTCATTGTAAAGGGTTGACAACTTTCTATTCTTAGCACTCTAGCTATAGCATTCTTACTCGCAGCACTTCTACTGCCTTGTAAGACGAACGGCCGACGGAGCCTTAGCGAAAAGTATTGTATTAGGGAGTTATTAAGAGATAATAATACCTAATCACTTACTTGCTACCTTATCGTTTCTTGATCCTTATTACTTGCTAGTTGGGCTAGTTTACTCACACATACTCCATTCGAAATCCTTGGGCTTACGTGTTGGACCCGAGGGTTGAAGGAATAAACCTCAACAAAGTCCATTTTCAAATAGGGTCATGTGTTTCGCCAAGTACCTTGTGGTCTGATGGCATCACTGTGACACTCCCAAGGAGGAGGTCACAGGTTCGAATCTCATCTCAGTTCAAGGATGTTGGCATTAACATTGAGCAGATACTATGGGGGTGTTTGGATCTGATTCTCAAAACTGATTCTGCTTCTTCAGGGAGCAGAAGCAGAAGCTGGAGTGTTTGGGTGAAATTCCAGAAGCACTTCTAGTGCTCTAATTTACTCTCAGAATCAGTTTTTTTAGAAGCTGGTAGGTACCAGCTTCTGAAAACTGATTCTGATTCTGCTTCTGCTCTTTAAAAAGAAGCAGAAGCAGAATCAGTTCCAAACACCCCCTATATAGGTTAGAAAGAATTGTTTAAAAAAAAATAGGGTCATGTGTTTCTCTTTTTATCAAAGTGGTTCATGTGTTTGAATTCCGTTATCACAAGGGGGTCACACCTACAAACGTCTGAGGAAGACGGTTAATAGTAACTCCGAATTCCTAAAGTGCCCGGAAAATAAAAGAAAAATATCGGAAGGTGCACATCGTCATGATGACCTCCAAACAATCTTTGCTTTTGGATTTTTCGGATTCGTTCGAATTATTTTTTAAAATTAATTCGCTAATATCACTTTTTGGTTGGACTTCCCAGTGACAAGGGTGGCTGAAAACAAAAAAGAATGATTGCCTAGCGATCGTCTTGTTGAGGTGCACCTGTCGATAATTTTCTTTTAATTTTTCGGGCACTTTTGAAAAACGGTGTCAGGTGTCAGGACCCTATTATGATAACGGAGTTCAAACACATGAACCAATTTGAGAAAAATGAGACACATGACCGTATCTGAAAATGAGCTCAACCACAAGTACCTTTTCCGACTTTTCCGACTTTTCCCTTTAATATTTTAGGTCTGCAGTTTAATATTTTAGGCCCTTCAATATCTTAGGTTCGGCCCTGGTGAGAGCGAATTGACACTATAACTTAGTCACATATTTCACAAATAGCAAATCACATTATTAATATTGTTTTATTAAATTAGACTTAGTTCAAGATATATACGTACAACTATGTATAGAAAGAAGATCAATTTATAATTTATATTATGTGTATGCAAAAATGCAATTGTGTATAAATTTGAAAAAGTTACCTAATTAGAAGTTAAACATAACAAAATATATTGAATTGTTTTATCCATTTATTCTTCTAATAGGATTACATAAATCCTATAGTTAAAAAAGAAAACACTCTTTTGATCCTATTTTATAATTTTTCCCCCTATGTTTAAGTCCTATTTTGAGCAATTCTCCATAAAATTATAGATATATATGAGGGCTGAGTTGATGTTAAGGGGGGTAGTTGCCCCTCACTGCCTCCGTAGTGGATACGCCCCTGTTGGTAGGGGTGTAGCAGAGCACTGCTTCGGTCTTTCCTGATACAAAGTTTTTTTTGTGACGAATTTTTACATAATTTTTTTTACATTAATAATTAAGTCATCTTTAAATTTGGTGTGAATCAAGGCTTAGATTGTCCCCTAGGCCCCATCTACGCCACTGATACTTGTGTGTGACTCTCGTTTCTTGTCTATCCGTGGTCCCCGGCCAAACTTCCGGCACATCTTAGGCATTTTGAGTACCGAAAACTCAGTCGGAAGCACCACACATGCAGGGGCGGAGCCAGAAAAATATGTGAGGGGTCGGAATTTAATTTAATTATATAAAGTACCAAAATAATGGATAATTATTATACGATACTTGAGTTAAATGTTTCATATGTAGCTGAGATAAATGGTAGTTTAATGAACCTTTTTCGATTAATGTATTGATATACTTCCTCTGTTCTTTAATTCTTGCAACATTGTGATTTTGCACTATTCACAAACCTTACTTTTATCACGATTTTCTACTAATATACACAAACAAATTACTCCGTATTACGTATAAAATGTTATTAAATTCCTATCAGTGTGAACTTCCAAGATATCAACTTTTTATAAAGTTTACTACTACGTAATACATAATTAAATATAATTACAGTCAAAGTTGTGTGTTGGTAAACGTGAAAGTCAAACTGTTGCAAGAATTAAAGAATGAAGGATAATATATATGTAATGTATCATATGTTCACACTACTAATGACCGAATAAGGTGTTTTATTTTTAAATTTAAGAATATAGCCAACGCCACACATCAAATTTTTACTCGTAATGAGTTACGGGGCCCATTATATATCGAATCGAAAGTATTTCAGAGCTCTACATTCTTGAACTTTCAGCGGGGTCGGCTGACCACCCTGACCCCTGGCTCCGCCCTTGCACACATGGACAATGATGAATGGCCATATGTAGCCAAAGCGAGCAAAGCAAAAAGACTTCGTTACATGTTATTGTAGAGCACCAAGTTTATTGTGGATGTGCTAATGTATGTTATTCAAAATTAAATTAGATTAGTGTGTTTATTTATATAATAAAGCCTACATGATAATATCATAATGCATAAATGTTCTTACCCCTAGGAACAAATACTGGATATGTTGTTGTCCATGAGGCATGAGGACGCCTTAAATCCGTAGTAAAGTGCCCAGTATATACGGAGCCGACTTTTGTAGAAATGTTATTTCTTCGTCACCATTATTAATCAA